AGAGATCACCTTCCCTGCGGTTTTGTTGGTTTTATTAGTTGATTTTTTTATTTTTTTACGGAACAAATTGGACCACTGTGATAATCTCCTCTGTTCTCGAGATAACTTCCTACATGCTCTAACAGAGAGTTTCCTGTCTTTTTATAGCCTTGTTCCCAGATAAGGGTGTCAAAGCGAGCCCTGTCTGTCTCGGGGCGCAGGCGGGAGGGAAGATGGTTTGGCAGGAGCTGAAGAGGAAGGAAACCCCGGAAAGGAGTCAGTAGGCCCGGCGGGCAGTGGCTGGGCAAGCGCTTGGCACGTGGTGCAGCACGAGCGGTTTGAATTGTAGAGGGATGCTGGTGCAGTAACCTCAGACAAGCAGCGGGAGCCTTGTGTGGTTGGACTTGAGGCTGGGAGGGCTGGTGGTAGCCATAAGCATGTCCAGCTGCAATAGGCACAGGCACAACAAAATAGCTGCCAATACCCTGAACAGGCTAGGAGCCTTTGGAAATAACATGCTTTTAGCTCAGTCTCATGACTTTGTTTAATTTGTGCTTTTGGTTTTCTTTTTTCATTTTGCTTTGGAGCTGACAGTGTGAGATGAACCAGCACTTGAAAGCAAAAACATTTAAAATGGAGAAATAGATTCAAGATTACTGTCTTGAAGTGCCAGACTGGACTGTTGTGCAGTCTTATTCTAGCTTTCCCATCTTTCTTTCATGTACTGCCTTTTCCAAAAGCTCAATCACAACATATTTTTTCTATGTTGTTCTTCCTGCATTGGTAACGAGTGCCAACTGGGGTATTTGGACTGGAACATATAGGCTCTGTCTCTGTAGATGTTTAGCAGAGTTCAGTCTAAAATGGAAGATTCATTAAGTGTCTTTGTTATGTTTTAGACAAAATCGTCTTAGATAGGCTCACAACATCACTGACATGAAAGGATCTTGAAGTTGGCCCCGAATACATGTACAGGTATCGCTTTACCAGCTGCTGGAACACAGCCATCTCCTGGGTGGAAAACAACAGCTGTTTAGTAATGCACATCAAGACTGGCAAAACAGTAGACTCAGAGGTAAATAATACCAGCTGAAGACTCACATCCATGTGAAAATGTTTTGTGCATTGCAAGGGAGGCTTGCTTAGTTGCTATGCCATTGATCCATTCCTACTGGTTGAGGTGCTTGTATTTGCCACTGAGTCAGTTTTAAACACATATAGATAGGCTACAATAGATTACAAAGGTTATTATGTTTTCTTCTGTCATTTGTACAGGTTTGGATTGTTTTCTGTTTGGCCATGGCCAAAATACAGATTAAAAGATACTACTTGGACTTGCAATAAAGTGCTAAATAATGTTTAAAAATAATTACAAAAGCCACAAGTTAGCAGCAGTTAGTAACACATAGCACGTAAGAAGGAAATAAAAGTTCCTATTGCTGCATTTGGTCAAGTTAAAATTTTGTTGCCTCCATTTTGTATGCATAATGCTAAAACCTCAAGAAAGTTGAAGCATGTCAGGAATAAGTACTATTTAATTATAAACCAGATTTTGTGCAGTACTATATGGAGCTGGACTGATGTTGGAGAACCAGCACATCCACCTTCTCATCCAGGATGGATTTTAAGGCACAGAGAGTTTTTCAGTTTTGAAGGAGCTGCCACAATTAGCTGTTCTGAACTTGTATTTACACAGGCTGTGTGCATCCTTCAGTGATTCCCTCCTCAGTTTCAATAACTGTGGTTGAACTGGGCCAGATATTCTAAGTAAAAGATCCCCTATTCTACTTGGATTATGAGGAAAAAGCGACTTATTCAAGACCATTAATGTTATCTGGTAAGACTGGTCTGCAACTTCCTAGACTACAGTCATCTCAGGTTCATTACATCCCTACAACTGCATTTGGTTTAGGAAGAATGGATAAATGTGTGACACCACATAATTTTTTATGACATATAAATATATTTCTGCTCTTTGTCTTACCTGTTGGCAGCTTCTACCCTCAGAGCATGACCAAATAGTTGTATCACAGCTGAGGAGGTGGGGAGCTCTAAAAATGCATCAGCTGCCAATGAAATGAAAACTCACTTGGCAATATTCCCTTGAGAAGGTGCCATCCGTCTTTCGCTGTGCCCAGCTGCTCCTTCTTCCTTTCACCAGAAGCTTCTGACCCCATCAGCTGGCCTCTTAAGTAAGAAGTATATTTCTGTCAAGGGTATAAAATGAAAATCCTTATTTCTTTCAAATCAAGTATGGTGTATGCTTTCAATGCAAAATTAACAACCCTAATTTAAACCATGAGGAAATGGGAAAAGATATGTTGGATTTGGAGGTAAACATCTGGAGAAGAAATACAGTAGTGGCAGCATTTATGAAGCAAAACTTGAAGCAATCACAATCACTTCTCCAAATGTGGAAGCCTGAAAATACTTCAGGATGCAAGTCTACTAATTACACATCTAACAAATATGCCTATACAGCTTTACCGCTGTGCTGGCAGGAAATAGGAAAATACATCATCAAGAAACCTGGACTTCCTAAACTATCAGCAGTGTAAGTGCTGGTATTTTGATCACTTACTTCTGGAAGAGTTGTGTGGCTATTCTCTTACAGGCCAGAAATAACTTAGAGCTTTTTTAGTTTATTGTCCATATGTCTGCAATATCTTGTGCTATACTGTCTCTGAGGACTCCCTGTAAAGCAAATGCTTTTCACTGTAGGATACAAGACTGCCATATTCAGAATATCAGAGAATTTACAAATAAAAAAATATGGAATCAGCCTAAAATCCCTATGAGTATCTGTTTTGCTTGACATAATGCAAAGTTTAAGTGGACTCTTGAAGGCTGAGTTCCTGAAGCATCATTCTTGATAGGAAAACCAATCAATATGAATTACAGCTCTGTATCAATCTGTAATCTCTCCTGCAATTTCTTTATATAGGTAACTGTAGTAAACAAGAATGATGTGTGTTATAGCTGCTGAGTTAGATAAAATTTCCAGTCTTACAGCAAAGCAATTTTATTATTGTTTCACCTATGTATTAGTTTGAAGAGGTAGATGGTAGACTAAAATGAGCTACTGCTAAATGATTAGGATGGTTTGATCTCAGCTTACATCTGTGGGGTTTTTTCCCTAAACAAAATACATGCAAGTAAGCTAGTTCATACTGTAACTTTCAGTAGTCACATTACGCTCAGATGGAAAGAACCTTCTGCGGTGAAAGCAGCAGAAGCTTTGTTTTTATCAAATCAAAATATGTAATAGCTGCCCTTAGGTTTAGTAACTAAAAAATCCCCCCAAGCCAACAAAACCCAGAAAGAAATAATGCATCACTCCTCTCTAAGGCAGGTAATCCACTTTAAGGAAAAGTAATTTCCTTGTAACTGCATTCTAAGCCTTTGCTTTGATTTGCTTTGCACAGCATCCAACTGCAACACTTAGTAAATAATGCGATCACAAGATTGCATATACTGATAACTGGAAAATCACCTGACTGACTAAAAACAGTATTCAAACACAGAAGGAGTGATAGGGTAGAAGCTTGGGAAAAAAAATGCAACCAAACATGAATTTTCTCAAGGTGTTTCTTTAGCTTAATAATTACTCATGAATGTCTTACATTATCCTATGTAATCTAAGAATGAGCCTGCTTGGTTATTTGTAATAGTAAGTAATACTCTCTATATATTGGTAGTATACATAGGAAAAGGAAAAGAAGCCAGGCAAAGAATGATTATTATCATGAAAGACGCTAAATAATATTTTCACTTGTATAACATAGGGTATCACTGGTCTGTTGAGCTAGTGCTAATTAAAACTGAAAATGCACTGCAAGCATCAGACTTGAGTTAGATGCCTGGGTTTAGTTAGAACAGCTGGGTCTGGAGTATGACCTGGAGCACTACAAGTCTTGAATCACTTGTTTGCAGACAAAACAAATTGCCACTGCAACACTTGCAGTTTGGAAGGAGTGGTCCTAGTGATGTCCAGGTCAGAGAAATCTGTCCTTATATATGAGGGCTACATGAAATTCTCACAGATTAAAAATAACTCTGTTTGCAAAATAGGAATACTGGTCAGTCTCGACAGCACTCCATGTGCAGTTCAGAGTTCATTATTAAAAAAGATTTTCTGAAGCAGCTCATCATCAGGGCTTCCTGCAGTTATCAGGTCTTGTGTTTTATTTGCCAACTGGCAAAGGTTCAGAGGCCGAGATGAAAACTGACAGTGCTGGAGAAAAAGATCTGACAAATGCCCCTCTTCTAATAAGCTGCTGAGCTTACTAAAGGAGGTGTACAAATACTGTTCAATCTTTTCCAGAAGCCCAGTCTACTAATATACAGTCATCTAGCTCCATTTTGAAATCATCTTTGTTTCCCTAAACAAAATATCCCCAAGTAATGCTGGTATCTTCAATTTCTCTGAAGTAGCAGGTCAATGTGCAATATTTATCATGATGTAATGATACTTCACTAGTTCTGTATCATTCTGATTGTCACTGTTTTTGCCTTTCTTCTGCAACCCCATTATTGCTACAAGATTTAAAAGCTTCTGGTAGTTTGTCATGATTGTCTGGTGGCATGGTGGCATTCTCACCTCTCTAAGGATCCTGTAGTATTCAGATATCACACTGGTTCAGCCTTTGAATCAGCTTCTAAACTAAGAAGCAAGACGGTAGTCAGAAGCCAATTATTTTAAGGCCTCATGAAGGAAAGATTAACATGCCTTATCTTTCTCAGCTGAAGTATTTCTGTATTATGTCCCTGGCATTAGTTCAGCTACTGCAGGGTCCTGGACCAGTGTAATCTTCAATACCTCTAGTTATCTTACTACTTTTTTTTTTTCTACTGTGGCAAAGCAATTCCTACTCTCTTCTAAAGCATATACTAAAAGAGTAAAAAATTGCCTTCTCCTAAGCTGGTGTAACATCACTGATTCTAATGTAGTACTACAGGATTTAATTTAAGATCACTATATTTCAGACTCCACATCACAGTTAATAAAACTGAGACAGCAGTTAAAAAAAGTTCTGACAAGGATTTATTAATTTATGCTTGTGAACAAATGTGTCTGACAGTTGAGACTGCCATAATTTGTACAGAGAGAGTTCCACTGTGTTGACAGAACTTGCAGTATAGAAGTTCAGGAGTGGGTGTCAGTTCACAGACTTTAACCCAGTTACAAAGATGGCTGCATGCCCAGATGAGATGAAGGTTCAGGCTTTCTTGCTGCTGTTCCCGTTTCTGTATGTTCAGTCTTGCTGAAAAACCAACCAAGCTGTCTGACACACGGCACAGGAGGGAGACGCTAAGTGTTACCTTCCTGTGTTAAGATGGTTAGGAAGTTTTGTTACCAAAAAGAATAGGGAAAAAACCACCCCAACTCTCAAAAAAGCTATTTCAAGCTAAAAGCTGGAAGGAAAGAAGCTAGTCAAGCCGAGCCTTCTGTGCCTTTTTTATTGTCCATGCTGAAGACTGAGAAAAGTATCCTTCAAAGCAAAGGAACCTCTATATTTGAACTGGGAAAATGGCAGTTCTGTGGTTACTTTAAAAATGCTGCTTTCTGGCAGGTGGGCAGGTACTGAATGTAAGCGTCATTTTGTGCAGAACACTTGCAGATGGGCAGATATTGACTGTGAATGGCATTTGTGCAGAACACTTATTTTCCAAACCTTTAAATACTGATTTATGCATATAAGAAAGACATATAAAATCTCTTAAGTATTTTCTTCAAGCCTTAGTTTCCTCATTCTCTGGCAAAAAAATAAATATTAAAGTTTTCTAATCTTCACTTGAATTATCAAATTCCTCCCAGTCTGATACGCTCATAACTTCTGATGGAAAGTCAAGGTGATACTTCACGCGGTCTGCATGCCATTCTGAGAACCATTTCTCTGTTTCCATTAAAATAGCCCTTGGCAAAGTGAGGACACAGGCAGCCATCCCAGAAATATCATCCTCCAACTGGGGTCCTTCCTCCCAGCAGTCTCTCTCTGCATCATAAATGTGCACATAGTCCATGCGGATTCCTCTGTTGTGGGATCTGCCTCCCAAGACATAGATCCTGTTGTCTAAGACTGCAATACCTGGCTCTCCATGTCCGGCAGGAAGTGGACATACATTTGTCCACTGATCAGTGCTTGGCCTATAGCAGGCAACCTGTAAGAAAACCCAAAGAGATTAGCCAAAATTGCACTTGTATCTTAGTGACAGAGGCTGGCCATGTGGCAAGCTATTTAGGAAGCCATGCAGTAACATCAGTCTTTTGACAGGATGTTGATAATGGAGAGAGCCTATCACCATGTAGTAGAAGTACAGTACTCAGCAGAAAACTGTGCAGAGTTGCATAGAGCTTTGAATCACAAATTCTGACCCTGCTACTGGAGTGAAAGCTGTATGTTATTCAGGAACTGTATACAAAAGTGAAAGAGATGGGGACACATGCTAATACAAGTTCAGACATAATGTTGCATTTGCATTAGGAACATACAAATATGACAAATCCGCTAAGTTGTCTCTGCAACATATTTTGGAAAGTTTTAGGTTTCATTGGGTAACCCTTGGCTAACTGCTTTTATTGTAAGCACCTTTTTATCATTCAGATACGCTTTTCAGGTAGATGTATTTCTGTCATCTTCATTGGCTTTGTTCTTGCACTTAATTTTTGTGTTTTCTTTATGCCTCTAGCAATTCTAGAAGCTGGAATAAGACTCCAGAATTCTCTTCAGCCATCACTTATCATCAGGTACTGTACATTTGATTGCATTATACAATTGCCATCCAACCTATCCTAACAACTCTGTCCTGCAATTACATATTGGTAATTCAAAGGTCCTTGACTTAGGAAAAAAAAACATGTGAGAAGATAATGTAAGTAAATTTAGTTGATGTGCTGCTTATTGGGTATGTGCATGTCACTGAATGTTATCCATCAAATATGTTTTAAAACTGATAAGAATATCAAGTGCTAGAGCTTCAATGCTTTGTGGGATAGACAGTGCATCTAAGACAGACAGCAGTAAATAAATCACTGCAAGTTCTGCAGTTGAGTGGGGTGAGCTGGTGCAGTAGCTGTTGTTGGGCAGACAGTTACTTAGTGGGAGAAAAACATTACATCAGAGTGAAATCATCCACAAGAAACAGCTTCTCCCAGGAAGGGCACAGGTATGACATGCTCCTACCTGGTGAACATCCCTTCTGTAGCCAGAATCATTGTTGCTTCCTCCAATGACATAGAGCTTTCCTAAGAGTGCAGCCATCCCATGCCAAGCGCGTCTCACTGGACCATCTGCTAAAACCTCCCAGCGGTCAACCTTTGGGTCATAACATTGTAGCTCTTTCAAATAGTCTTCTCCTCTCCTCCCACAAGTAATATACATCTTTCCATCCAGTGCTGCTCCAGCATGTGCGTATACCTGTATCACCGCATGGGAAAGCAAGAGGTTGAGCTCTGGTTTTATGTATTTCTCCCAGTTTCAAAGTACAGAGTAGACATTAAGGGAGTAACGCTGTTTATGAGTTATGCAGATATCAACATCTGGAAGGATTTTTTTCTAGAAAATCTGTTTCTAGGTGATTATGCTGTGAGTGTAAATTTCTGAATGAAATATACTAGAACGTCTAAACCTTCCAGAAGTGCAGGGGGGTCTCATTTTTATTACTCCTTGATCAGAAGATCAGTCATACTATTACTTTTCTCTGAAGTCCACTTGGAAGCCTTTTTGTGGAGACTTTTCTTATGCAAGCAGCGTTATCAGGAATGCAAGATACCCCACTCAGCAGCACTCAATTGGATCGTAAGGCTCAGCACTGACGCATAGTTTCTTGAAAGATTACTCAGGATTTTAGTTTTCTTCCCTAACCAAGATTCATCAAGCAGTTGTTTTTTGTTTGGTTTTATTTACTTATTTATTTATTATTTGCTGTATTCATCTTTGCAACACTTTTAACATGGAAATGTAAAGTTTTGCCTTTTTTGGCATTATTAAAACTCAGAACAAACTGTTGCACTCATAACCCCAATTCCCATGTCACTATACCATTTCCTGGTTTCTGGGGTCATGACCGCTACTTTGGCAATAGCTGTTCTTGAAGAATAAAGGGTACTGATGACAGAAGAGACCTATTCACTCATGTATACCAAATGAGTAATTTGAAATTATGTTTAGCTGGCTTAGATGTGATTCTGCACCACATAAGCTATTGTCATCAGAACTTGTCAGTTCTGTGTCCAGGCACTAAGTAGTCTGTAGAAACAGATCTACCCTCTTTACTGGGCAGTATATTCTGGGATCAGGAGTAATGCATGTTGTCAGGACTGTGATCAGAAGCTTGTACTACTGTGTCTTACAATTTACCTGCCTAGGAAGAATGGGAATCTCCTGTTCCCAGAGGCTATGTGTTCAATTTTAAATAGTTGTAAGGATTAACACAATGAAGGTGCAGGGGAAAACAAGAAAACAGGGAATAAAAAGGCATTTAGCCTCAAAATGTTATTTACATAAATTATTACTCTCCTTTCTTGATATTCATTTATCCCATATACAGAGGCTACTGTTTCCCATCTGAATATCAGCAGATTTAAAGCAACACATGAGAAAAGCATCTAAAAAGATTATATCAGGAACTGGGAACTGTAGTAGTGTGTGTGGCTAATGTACTACTTACCTCCTTCTTCAGAGGTGTCACATATTCCCAAGTGTTGCTTTTAGGGTCATACCTCTCCACTTCCCTCAGGTCTTCATGATAATCTCTGCCTGCGACAGCATAGATATAGTTGTCCACAACACAGACACTGAGGTCAGCATGCTCTTGCTGTAGGGACTGGATCTGGAACCATTTGTTGTGTCGAGGGTCATACCTTGTAAAAGAATGGGATCAAAGAAAGTTATTCATACAGCCACAGAATCATTGGCGGAATACCAGACAGTACCACAGATGTGGGTTACTGTACTGTCTTTGGCTGAAATTGAGCTCAGCTGTAAGTGGAGTGAAATTTGGCCTTGTCAGCATTTTATTATTAGCAAAGTTGGTTTATTCTATTTTTAGAAGATGTATTTTAGCTGACATAATCATGCTGCAAAAGCCTATGGTTTCCATTATCTTGTACACTGCTGTCAGTAAAACCGGTAAACATGACCGCAGTATAAAGACAAAAGGGTTTTTATCTGGTTTTGCGATGTAATGAGCATGAAGGTCTAAACCTGATCCTCCTGCTTCTTTTCCTGGCACAAAAGAATATAAGAGGACCCTGGAAGGCCACTACTGTGCACACAAATTCTTGAAAATCAACCAGTAGTAGCATTTTCTTTAAAAATCCTTTTTGGTAACTAAATCCTTTTTTATTGGGACCAAAAATAGACACAAAGTACTTATAAAAAATCCTAGCTCAAGAGCATTTAGACAATCTAGGATTCTAGCTTCATTACTGTTTTCAGCAACTTTATTACTTCCCCCCTCCAACGAGACAGTAAAACATGTAATACTCTTGAATGAGTACTGTTTCTACCCTGTCTGGCTTGGCTTTGTCCCATAAGCTCTGCTGGAAGCTTCCTATTACTATCAGGCTCATTTCTTTATTTCTTGTATTTTCCTTCAGTGAGGCTCAGTTCCTAATCTTTCATCTAGCAAGCATATAGACCATGCTGTCTTACTGACTCTGAGATGGCAACAGGGTGGTAACAAAAATAATGGCAGGATTATCCTCATCTTACCTCCAACACCTTGACTCTGCTCGAAAGCCACTTACATTGTTGTCTCCACCAATTAAATATACAAAGTTATTGAGAACAGCAATCCCTTGGTTCGACATTCTGGGAGCTAGTGCAGCTGTAAAGTGCCTCCATTCTCCCAACAAGGGGTTCAGATACTTGGCTTGATCACTGAGGACAATGGATGGAGTAGAATGCATCCCTCCAAATCCTACTACACACTGGAACTCTGATCTCAGCTGTGTCTGGGAGCTCTGAAGCATTGGTTGAAGACATTCATTCTTGTGGTACATTAATGCATCTGCGACGGTATCTTTTAAAGGACATGGACTTAATTTGTCATGAAGCCTTTGCAGGATCTGAGGTTCCATCAGAGGAAAACGAACTGTCTCAAGCAGCTTAAGGGGCTCCATCAGGGAGACCTGATCTGTCTCCAGTTGCTCTGGTGAATAATGATAAAAAAGTGCCCCATCATAAACTTCAAACTCATAGTTAACCTCCAAACGATTGCTGCTGAGAAGGGAATAGACCTTCTGCAAAGGTAGCTGTCGGTACACTTGCGTCCTTGAGAAAGATGCAAAGTTCTTCAAAATGTAGGAGTCCAGCTGATCACTCAAATGTTTCAAGTCATAATGGTCAGCTAGTCTGTATACATCAAGTATGTTCTCTTCATCTACCCAGGACATGAGAAAATCACAGCAGAACTTAATGACTTCTGGAATCTGCAAGAGAAAGATACTTTTCATTTCAGACACCTCTTACCTCACACTCGAGAGACAGGTGATAGAAGCTGGGATGACTGACTGTAAGACAGCTGTCGAATGCTCTCCTCAGTCTGATCACCATGTTCACTTGCACCCAATTCACCTTTCTCCAGAGCAAAAGAACTCAACATGGATAGGTAGATGAATACGATATAGATCTTCTAGCCACCCTATACTGCAAATCTATGAGTTTGGCTTCATGTGCAGCACATGGGACACTTGACAGCCAGGCTGTCTGGTTTGTTAGCATGGCACCAAGCTGTAGCTGCCTGGGAGGACATGGTGAAAGCCAGGTTTATAGTCACTTTGTAATTGTTCTTTCAGAGCACTATAGATATACTGTATCAAAGACTGTATCTGTAACAAATATATGTGCATCACTCGAGCACAGGAGGCCATTTGAAAGGAAAATGAGTATCTTATGAAAACAATTTGAAGTTGTATCTGGCAGGAGCGACTGATGGCAAACAAAGAACTAACTGCTGTCCAAGACCCCCTCTGCTACAGAGCGGTGCTGAGTCTGTAAAAACCAACCAAAGCAAGCACTCAGAAAGTTTAAGGTTTAGTACCACAGCCTTATGCAGCAGTTAGCTGCAGGCGAAATCAGAGAAAAAAACTCATCTTAAAGGCACACTGAATTCTGCACTTAGTGCAGAAACTATAATGGCAGGATTTCCTGTAGTGATGGGGTCGGGGAGGTTATGTGCCTGTCCACTCAATCTGGGGAAGGTCTTGAGCAGCACAGCAGTTTCAGAGCAGCAAGCCCTGTCCTTTACCATAGGCCAGAAGTATTCTATTTCATAAGCAGATCAGTGGAAGTGAGTGCTATATAAAATAGTCCTCTAGATGAAATTGTAAATGTTTATAAGTAATAAAACCATTGACACAAATGAGATGTGCAACTACTCATTAATTGTTGCTACCCTTCCATAGTTCCAGTGGAAACAGCATCTCAAAGAAATTCTTCTCATCAGACACATTATTCACCTCCTAACCCTCCATTTAACCAGATATCCAGGTCTTCTGTTTCCTTTATTGTTGCTTTTGTTTTTGCTTCTTTTTTGTCTTATCTCCCAGCACCTCACCTGAAGCTGACAGGCTGCAGCTAAGGTTTCCTGTACACTGTTCACACTGAGTTCCAGCTCAGAAGTGTAAATGAAGTTCAAGATTTTGCACATTGCATTGTAGGAGATGCCATGAATATGAACTTCTTCTTGTTCCATCTCTCTTAGTCCTCCTGCAAACATTCCTCTGTAAAAAAAAGACAATGGCAAATGCTATGGCAGATTTGCATTGAAGCTGTTTTCAGTTTGCTCATCTTATGTTGTCCTGGGAACACAAAAAATATTCAGAAAGATAAAAGCCTAGCCAGACACTTTTATGGGATTACCTCTTCTCTAAGCCAGTGATACAAAGAGTACAGGCCTTTGGGACCTAAGGAAGTAATACTCTTCATTCTGCAGGAAAACAGTTAAGGGCCATCTGAAAGGAAAGATTCACAGATGAAGATTTGAATACAGGATAGTCAATGGGCAGAGGCAGATACTCTGGGTGTTGAAGAAGAGAAAAAAAAAGAGGAACTTGGACTGTAGGATTTTTTGTTATGCTAGAGCAGTTCTTCCTCCAGTTAAAAGTTTGTCTGGCTTGCGTTGGGATTTATTTGTTTGCTCCCTGAAGATAAAGTCACTTCAGGAAACTGCTAGCCAAACTGACAAGGGGAATGCCTGGTTTAATGGACAGTGAGTCACACTATAGGCATGTAACAGAGTGACCCACTTCCAGTGACTTTTTGTGTATTATGCAATGATCACCACAATGTGCAAAGTCTTACAATGCTAAGGATATATTAAAAGTCACCCAGAGTGCATTTATGCAGAAGACATCTGTTTATATCTATTCCTTTTATACCTCAAAGTACCACAGGCGGTGAATTTAGTGGAGGTAAGCTCAGTGTGCAGGAACAAGAGCTTTATGTCTGTAGAGAAATAACACAGAGATGAATAAGGCCATATTTTGAAACATTCAGCTCCATCTTATGAGTCCAATTTTACATCCAGAAACAGCATGCCAAGATAGAAGACTTGGATGCTGCAGGTTTGAGTAACATTCAGACATGTTCATTACTGCCATTCTGAAGTGTACCTGAAATAGTCACAGGATGCAGCTAGAAGTATGCGGTGAGCCTCAATAGGTTTCTCTTCCACTACCAGAACTACATCGAAGAGGATGCTGCTGTCTCGAAGAGATACCAAGCCACTGAGCAAGGCCTGAGAGTGCTCTGCACTGCGGTATGTGTTGCTGGTGCGCTGCTGAAGGGAGGGTGCGAGTTGAGCTTTGTGTGTCTGAGTCAGCTCCTGATCCTCCGCCATCCCAGGCAGAAATGCTCAGCCACCAGCTGTAGCAGAATGAAATCTGTGAGACAACAGAATCAGCAAAGGTTTGTGCCTTTTGCTTTACGAATGCTCCTCTGATCCCCGCCTACCACAGACAATAAATCAGTCCATCTCTTCAATCAGTTCTACCCTGCAGAAATGATTCAGAATGATGACAGGCAGGTGTACCTCAGCACACCAAAGTGGCAGAATGTGTTTTTTCAAACAAGTATTCTGACTCCTGGGTTTTTAGTCCAAGAGTTAGAGTATGTAGCATGTGGGGATAGTTTTTTTTCTTAGCAAGAGTTTCACTTCCCAGCCCATGACCAGAACCCCCTTCTTTTTTTGTTTTTTTTTGCATTTCTGCATCATTTGTGACACAACTTTGTCAAATTCTAAGTTGTCTAATATCCTCAGATAACTTTGCTGCAATATCAACTGCACCTTCCATCTTTTGATATTTAACACAGAATCTGAAAGCTCTCCTCTCTCCCTATCTTTGCTTTTTCATTTTCCTTAGCTGAGCGCATTTCCAACTGTCATTCTATAAAATACTATTTGAAACCTTAGACCTGAAAGTGAGTTTCTTTATTGTGACAACTTCAAGCTAGCATGCACAACTGTTTTCCACTTCACCATGGTTCCCTGATGGAATTTCCTCCAATGTAGGCACCACCAAGGGCTATCCTGTACCTTTTTCTAGGGCTGCCACTGACACTGGAGGAAGGTCCCCAATGGCACATGGGGAAACACCTGAAAAAGCTATCTGGAAGTGACTTGCATTTTATGTCTGCGGTTAAGCTCTCAAAATCTCATGAGTCCTCTTCTACCATCCTGTAATCTACCCTTTCCATTGTCTTTGAAGAATGTCAGAAGTTGTAGCAGTTAGAGCTCACAGACTCTATCCCCTTGTCAGAGCACATTAGAAAAAAAACAACTCACCCCAACCCCAAAACACATTAGCAAAAGGAAATAACTTAGCTGATATGGCTACTTAAGGTAGTTATAACAGCCTCTCCTCCAACAGCCTGGGAAATAGCTTAGTGGCACAAGTGACAGTCACAAGAGGTAACCAGCAGTCAGGGAAGCAAAAGCAGAACAAACCCATCAAATCCAAACAAACAAGGAAGAAATGGAACCATATTTTAATTCTGCCAGCCATAGACAGTGAATGCAGCATTAGAAAGCTCTCATAGTACTGCAAGGTATTCTCTGTATGGTCAGTGAGGAAGGAGCTATCTGGATGACCCCAAGAAAACCAAAAATGTTTATTGCTCTGCCTGAGGCCAAACCAAAAAGAAGCTAGGTGCCATTGCATCGTAAATGGGATGATAAAAAAACCCACCCAAAGCCCCCAAAATAACTGAAAAAGCATATTAATTGTTGTCTGCTTTTTGCCAGGAAAACCAAGGAAGCAGCTCAGAAGAGGAGCTCTGATGAGACAGCCTTCTGTTGTGAGCACATTCAGGTCGATTGTATGGGGGAAACTATCCATCATCAGCTGAAGAGATGAATAATGGATTATTTTTCATGACAGGTAGAGGCTTTTCCTAGAAATAAGATGACTGCTTTTGAAGCAGACAAAACATTACTGTATCATTTGATTTGCTTCTGGGGAATATTAAAAGTGATGGATTGAGGCAAGGGAGATCATATAGTAAGAAAGGCAGCTGAAGAGTAAGAGTTACTAGACCTTGATCAGAAACTTCCCACTTCACTAGAAGGGAATAAATACAGCAGAAACTAAGGTGAGATACAGTCCAGATTCAGAATAGATTCAGATAAATCACATGAACTCTGGTTTTGTGGTTTAATGTGGTTAACACTCCAGAGTGAATGTGGTTAGTGCTTAAAAAAAGGTTGCGTCTTTTCATCTATTTAGAGAGCTGTACAAGAAGAAGTCTCTAAGACTGTAAAATCATTGAATCAAAAAGCAGAATTAAATGTAAAAAATGAACTATTTTCTGAATTCAAAAACTTTTGCTGGGTAGAGGAAACAGCATGACCTTGATACAATATTACAGTGTGTCCTTTTAGTGTAGTCACTAGAGAGGCTAGGGAGAAGTTCAGCCAGAGCCAGACGCTGTCCTGGTTTTGCCTGGGAACGATAGGAACTGCACAGGCCATTGAACAAGTAACAAGTGTTAGCAAAGAAACGTACTGTAGACATAGAAAGATAAGTAATACGTCCAGGAGAGAGGTCTGGAGAGGGAGAGGTACATGCAGGGTACAGAGGAAACATACATTATGCCAAGACTTACTTAGGTCTACCTTTAAGTAATAGATCCATAGACAGTTACTATGCAGAATACGTTCTGTATCTAAATAATCTTAAAAAGGAACAGAAAGGGGGTGAAGCTTTCAGCAGCTAAAGACCCAGTCTTACAAACATGGAACCAACCTTACAAATATGGTAACTGGAACCAGGAAGATCAAATGGTATTATGAAACAAACAAACAAACGGATAAATAATAGTCAGGGATTCTGAAGCCTGTATGAGCATTAGAATCTGCACAACTTTAAGTGACAAATGGGGCTGTCTGGGACATCTGTAGGGAGTTCATCTCACTGCTAGTTCTGCTAGATATGGACTTGAATTATCCCGTAACTGTTAGCAATAGCTGGAACAAACCAGCCCTGCTTACCAGCAGACCTGTGTAAACCCCATGTGGTTGAACAGATGCTGGGAGTGCAGCTGAGCTGCACCCCCAGCTGATTTTTGGCTAGTCAACAGCTGAGCCTACATATTTTGCCACACTCTATTTTCTGAATTTTGTCAGTGCCTTCTTGTTCTCAGCTTCAGGCCCTGGATTATGTCTTGGCCATCACTGGTGAGCTGCACTGTTCATTAGAGTGGTCACACATGGACCTATGTCAACAGAAGAGCTGCCTTGTGCATTTGGCAGACGAAGCCACCATGACACAGAAAATCACCACTCTTTAGAGCTACCTGTGAGTATTTTGCCATCTATAATTATTTGTTCTAACCAATTTTGGATGTGTTGCTAGAATACCAGTACTGCTGTGGAGAAAGGGTAGAATACTACTGAGCGAGTACAGTGTATATTGTCTAAAACTTGCCAGCACTCTTAAGTTCTTTCTGTACGTGGATACATGAAGTTTCTTAACTACACTGTAATTAATTCACTGCGGGGAGGAGGGTGATGTTGGGAGTCAAAACTAGATGATCTTTAAGGTTCCTTCCAATCCAAATCATTTTATTATTCTATGATAAACTGTGGCTACTCAGAGAACCTCTACTCTGCTACATATACCTCCCTACTCTCCTAAACTGGCTTTAAAGCTTATAAACAAATATGCATGGGTGGTGTCATAGCTTAACAGTGGTAACAGACTAGAGGAATTCTCACTGCAATGATTTTAATGAACTGTTTTCAACTTATAAAATTAAAAATGAGCATTTGTGGTGTTAGTCTAAGATGTCTGACTGACATAGTTGGTTAATTCCTCTTCTTTGAGCTAAAACCTCATAGCAGCTTTAGCCCTCATAGCAGCCTTCCAGTACCTGAAAGGGGGCTATAGGGATGCTGGGGAGGGACTCTTCATTAGGGACTGTAGTGATAGAACAAGGGGTAATGGGTTAAAACTTAAACAGGGGAAGTTTAGATTGGATATAAGGAGGAAATTCTTTCCTGTTAGGGTGGTGAGGCACTGGAATGGGTTGCCCAGGGAGGTTGTGAAAGCTCCATCCCTGGCAGTGTTCAAGGCCAGGCTGGACAAAGCCTTGGGTGAGATGGTTTAGTTTGAGGTGTCCCTGCCCATGGCAGGGGGGTTGGAACCAGATGATCTTAAGTTCCTTTCCAACCATAATTATTCTATGATTCTATGAAAACCCTCTTAACTCCTACCTAGGTAGTCTTAGGAGCTGGCAGAAAAGACCATAAGACAAAGAAGGGTAGAAGACTATTAAATGGCTTGTGTGGTATGGCCAGCAAGATTCATTTAGCTGATTACTGAGTATGCTCAGCTTTGTAATAGCTGTACAAGGAGCAGATGAGGTTAGGTGAGTAGGAAGTTACAAAGAGTGGTTGTTGAAGCAGGGTTAGTGGGTTGTGTTGCGGGCTTCTTTGAAAGAGAAGTGGGGTGGTTTTGGTATTTCAGTTTTCTGGACTAAATGCAGTGTGCATGGTGAGCCAATAGTTATGTGGATTTATCTGGGTGTTTTTCTAAATGCTGATTACAGATTTGCTGAGGAGGGATACTGGTGTTATCACAGCATCTTGCTTCTCAGACTGTGTGTCTAACTGTGACCTGTGTGCTTTGTGCCTTTATTACTGTCCAAACATCCAGTGGAAGTGTGATATTTTACGTGTGGTGTACCAGCTAGGTGGGAGGACTGGCTGTTAAGGTATTTTGGAATTTTTATGCCTTGTAAGTGCTCATTAGCCTTAGGAATTACAAGAAAATTTACCGAATCACCTCTGTACATTTTGAGCTGAAAATAATTTAATGCAACCTCCTCAAATGTGTATTTTGCTTAATCCTTATTGCCCTTTATGAAAAAAAAAAGATCTAAATGGAGTACAAGCAGTACAGTTCTGCATGGAGAAATACAACAGCTTTGTTCAGCCTCTTGCACATTGCAGAAAACCTATTAGCTTTTTCCTTCCTGACCACTCAAGAACTTTGTTGGCTTCTAGGCCGTGAGACACCATTTTTGAGGCGGGCATCTGTCCCTCTGAATGAAGGAGCTTTAGGCAGGTCCTTGCTAGCAAATATAAATGCACAGTCCCTTGAACTGTGCAGATAACTTTCCTCTACCTTGACCCTCTCTACTGTCAGCTTCTTGCTTGCAGGATATTCTTGAGTCCCTTTGTTCTCTTACTTCTGTTATTCAGAAACTAACTCTGTGACTGAGCCAAGTTCCTAGAAATCCAAGTAATCCTTTTTTATTTCCTCTCTTCTTGTGAAAGTTTCTCAGTGCTGGTCCATCTGTTAACAGTGAGATTCAGTGGCTAAGTACTGCAGGATTGACCCTAAAGTGGAAGAGATGAGGAACACTTTCTGTTCACTGTGCTTTTTTAGCAGTAGCAAAGATAAAAAGTGTTGTCTTGTGCTGTGGATGCTGCATTCAGAAACAAGGGGAAGTAAGTCCTTGTTCCAAGCACTTTGCAGAGAAAATCAGACTAGAGGTCATTAGCTGGTTGCACAAGGTATTTGAGACTACAGTTATGTTTGTTTGACTTGTCTTTTAGAGACAGTGGGTTAGTGTAGTGATAGGGTATTATCATTGAGTACCAAGTACATAAAGAGGAAGAAGGCATATGAAGTCAGTAATTGTATGTGCACTTTTACAGGCAATCCTAACATAGGAAGACATGCACTATTTGGTCACTTCAAGGAATTAAAAAAAAAACACCAAAACAAACCAAACAAAATCCCCCATAAATGGCAAAACCCTCAGAGCATTTCCCAGCAGCTGGGTCAGCCTGTGTCCTGGATGCATCCTGCTGCCATCATACACTCAGCCTTTATTTTCTGGTAAGAGATGCTGTGCACCAATTCTGTGCTTTAAACATAGTGTAGATAGTTTACATCACTGAAGTCTGTTATTGGTATTGCATAGTATGACATATACCTGAACAAGTATTCACCCCTTTTATAATCTCCATCCCTGTCATAGGGTGATGCTTACTAGTGGGTGTGGAGGCTTTTTTTCTTTGTATAGTTGTGCTGACAGCCTTGATCCTCTACTGTAGTGAAATGGCTGGATATAGAAAGGATTATCCAACTTAGTTTCTATGGGAACTCAGACATTTTTGTATTCAAGAGCTTGTGGCTGTCAGTTACATCTCTACCAAGGGGTGTTTTACGCAGATAGTGATATTTTCTTGTGCATCAGCTGTGCCCAAAATAAACTAGAGCTTGCTGGTGTCGGGTATCCAAATCTGTTTAGCTTACTGCCATATGGACAGGTGGTTCACAGTTGGTGGGGGTCCCATGCTCTTAGAACTGTGGAATAATTTAGGTTGGAAAGAAACTTGGGAGGTCTCTAGTCCAAACTCCTGCTCAAAGCAGGGAAAACTTCAAAATCAGATCAGGATGCCGAGAGCTTCATTTCATCAACTGCAGAATCTTCAGCATTGTCAATAATTGGAAAACTGAGTGCTTAACCATCAGATTTTTTTCTTTATCCTATCTGAACTTCTTTTCTTGCAGTTTATAACACTTGCCTCTTATCTTTGGCACTCTGCATCACAAAGAAGAGTTTGGCACTACATTTTCCTGTACCCATAGGATAGCTTAAAAGAGTGGCAGCTGACTCTCCCCATCTCTGTATTTAACAAACCCAGTCTTCTTGCTTTGTGGGCTTTTAAGTGCTGAATAAAGGGGAAAGTAGTAATTTCTCACTATTTACTGGCTTTGCCTTGCTAACACAGCTCAGCATGAAGCTGGCCCCTGTTGGAGGAACCATATTCACCTTGCTGCTCATCAGGACCCCCAGGCTCTCTTTTGGCAAAGCTGACTTCTAGCCAGGCTTGTCTCCAGCCTGCTCTCATTCAGATACATGACTTTTGCTATTGAAATCTATATGGTTCCTCTTGGTCCATTCTTAAAGCTTGCTAGTGTCCCTCAGTTGCAGGTCTGTCCTCTTTCTTGCAGGCCATCTTCATCTCTTTTTCTTTAATACACAACAACCAGTATGGTGTGCTCTGGGTGTGCTGTATTGTGATCCAAATAGATTAGGCCCTGAAAAGTCTTAGTGCATTGGAGGAAGTTTAAAACCTGTGCCCTAAGGCTTCCCACACCTTCATCTCTCCCTTAGGGAGTAAAGAGAATTAGGATCTAAGCCAGGATTTGGCGGAAGGCCTAACAAGGAGACAAGATACAAGACTAAAGCAAAACTCTAGTTCTTCTGACTCTCAGCAGATGCAAATAGGCAGAACCTGGCTATGTACCAGAATTTTGACAGGGCAGAGGGCACACAAACAAATAGGTCAAACAGTCAGGCAGTGTGCAGAATGGGGAGGCAGCTGGGTGCCTGCCAAAATAGTTCAGAAAACAGATGTGATGCCACCAACAATGTAAGCTGAAGAGCAAAACTATTGTTCATTCTAACTGGAATGCAAACAGTGGAATAATTAATCACAATATGATAATTTGTAATGGGTACAAGTAAGACAATGGAGTACAGCATTAGGTGCAATCATGACTTAAGTCAATTTCATGCCTTTTGTAGAAAAAGGGAAGAGGGGTGAAATAAAAACAGAAGCTGTTCTCAGCAGTGCTTCTTTCAGGATTATCCCTCTATGCATTCACAACTGTGGAAAACCCCTTTCTTCCTGAAATACCACTTAATTTAGGAACTTCTACAAATACAGGAAATGACCCAAACCACTCCTTTTGACCAAGGTTTCTACAAAAAGGAATGAAGACATCTGGTAGCATATAAGATCTCAATGTTAGTTTTGAACACTCATCAAATGATGAGATGCATTTGCTAGGTCTATGCACGCCATCTTTCTTTAGGTCCCTAATGGGAACATGCAAGCATGTCTCCTTGTGCTACAGCACAAGCCAGTTTCTGAGCCAGTTTCAGTTTCTCGCATTAGTAGTACACTTGAAGTGTGGGAGGAAACCAAAAGGTGTGATTCGGGAAACAGCTTTTGCAAACTATGCTGCCTCGTAAATTTTGGCATTCATTTCTTTCAGGGTGTTTTTTTTTCCCCAAGCCTATTACAAGTTATCTGTAGGACATATTGAGAATAAAAATCCTCATGTTTAATATGAGAATATGGCAAAACTCCCATGAAATGTATCTAAATACAGATATTTAAAAATATTTCTCCCCTGTGAACAGGAACATAACCTAAAGAGTATGAATTTTCTAACTTGAATATCTCATCCATAAGAAATTGACAACTTACCCAAATTCAGAGAATTGAAAAGTTTCCTGTGGTGCATTTTTGGGAGATGGCCCAAATGCTACCAAGAAATTGTAATAAGGAAACCAAAAATTCAGTAAGATGCTAGAATGCTTTATGGCTTCAGCATATTTTTAAGAGTCTAATCATCTCTTACTACTCTTTTGGGTTTTCTATTTATTTTTTTTCCTCATAACTAATATTGAAACAAGATTTGCTTTTCATCTGAGTCTTTCAATAGCCAAGTTCTGGTCTGGATGAAGCAGCTGCTTGTTTGAAGAGAGTTATAACCAACTATATTCAGGCAGGGTGTACCTGCTTACCCTAAAAACTAGTGGTCCATCACTAAGGCTCCATCTTTCTTCCAGAATCAGGATGTAGTGTTCAGTTCTATGTCCAGATGGATCTGGTAAATCTGTGAGGAATACGTTCTTTTGACAGAATTATTTTAATGATCTTAAAAACTCTTAGCCCCTTAAAAAAGTCTTTTCCACAATAACAACACTTTTTTAAATGAAGCTTCTACAGGATCAAGCTAAGAAATAACTATACTAAAATGGACAGTTTCTAAATTAGTCAGTGGTGTATGTTCTCTTGAGAGATTATGCTAGTTGCAAGACCTGAACTGCACTGTTGAACTGCTGAAACCAAATAATGGATTTTTAATAGTCTAAAATATAAGGAGGAAAAATAATGGGCAGTAATTAATTCTGTGCCAAACAGAAGAATTAAGTGACTTGTAAGAGAGCAAAGGCCTCTTCCAGCATACTCCAGTTCTGATTTGTGTATCAAACATGAATTCATCCATACTATTCATCACATTAATTTTGTTCCTGCTGGGAACAGAGGTTCCTCCTCTGCCCCATAACTTATATATTTCCCCATCAGGAATGCAGAATAATCAGTTTCCTCTGCAGGTGAATGCTACCTGGAGTTGCACATCATCAAAAGAGGCAACCTGACTCTATGCAAACCCTGTGATTAAGAGGTGAAAGACAGTTCAAGCAGGCTTATAGTTTTACTTTGTTTTCCCCTGTTGACAATGCTTTTGCAGGTCCCAAGACCCAAGACCCAATACCCTCCCACTTGCTCACCCCACCTCCCGTTCAGGCAGCCCTAGAGAAGCAGCGGGGTAAGCTCTGTGCTGGGACATGGGCTTTGGCCTTGCCAGGGCATCCTCAGGGGTTCCATGCAGGCAGCAGGGCCTTGGCTTCTGCCGCGGCCTGGCTGGGGCGGCCTCGGTGGCTTCATGCGACCAGCAGGGCCTTGACAAGGGACGGCCTTGGCCTTGACAGGACAGGGGCGGCCGTGCGGCTGTCAGTCGCCGCTCCAGTGCCTGCCTTGCCCTGCCCCGCCTCAGATCGATTCTGCCCGTCTCCACTGGCAGCCCTTCGCCCGTGTTTTCGCGGTGCTGCCATCCCTGGCACTCCCTGCGGCGAGCAGGCAGGTTCGGGACACCGCCTCACTTGCCCGGGTCCTGTCCTGGGGAGCCAAGCCGTGGCCGGCTCCTGCACTAAGCGCCCCGTGGGAACGGGTAACGCCGGCTCCAGCTGGGGCTGCCTCCTCCCCGGAGCACCGGGCGGCCCAACCGGTACCTATCCCCCTGTTTCCCCCGCCGCCGCCGCCGCCCCCGCCACCTACCGAGAGTGGCGGCGGCGGCCTCCGCCAGCGGCTTCCGCCTTCATGTGCGACCCGGAACCCACAGGGACGGCGCTTGACGCGCCCGCCCCGCGAAGGAGGGGCGGCCGGAACCGGGGCTGGCGGGGGGGGGTGGTGGTGAAAGCAGCCAGGGTCACCCGGTCACCCGTCGGCGCTGCCGTGTTCCTTGGCGCAGTGTGCCCGGCGGTGCCCCGGGCCTGCCACCCTGCGGGGCGGCAGAACCTCGCTCGTCCTGAAGGGTGAGCTCCCGTAGTGGGACTACATTTCCTAGCGAGCCCCGCAAGGGTCGGTAGCTCTCGCGAGAGTTGGAGGAGTCACGCCGGGGCTCCATTTCCCTCAAGCCTTCAGCGCGATAGTAGTGGATCTGCGGCACTCCCGCGGCGGCGGGTGGTGGAACGGCGGAGGGGAGCGCGGTGGCAGCGGCGGGCGAAGGAGGCAGCGGCCGGGATGGACGTGACTGGGCCTGAGACCGACTGGCGCAGCACCACTTTTCGGCAGAAGCTCGTCAGCCAGATGTGAGTGCGGGCTGTGGCCTCAGCGCTGAGTAGGCCACAGGCGGGCCTCGGCCTTTGCCGGAGGGACTTCAGCGACTCCCGCTGCTCCCGAGGCTGCCTGCCCCCCGTGTTTGTGTCCCACACGTCTGAGCTCCTCTGCGAGTCTTCCCCGGCACTTCGCTTGCTGCCTGGGTTCGTCCGTGGTTCCCGGTGTTTCCTTTTCTCTAGGCCCTTTCACCATTCCCCTGGTAGGGGACCTCCTTACCAGGATTTACTCAGACCCTGTGCGATGGGTTAGCCGGGCCCCTTCTTTGACTTCATTTCTCTGTTTCTCCTTCCCATTCCCTTTGCTCTTGCCCATGAATAGCAGCTTCCTGTCCCACTTGACAGCATCTGCTTTCGGCCTTTGATTTTGGCAGTATCCATAGTACTGTCAAGTTTGACGTATTCTGCCCCATGAAAACCACTGTTACTATCTTGCATCTGCCATTTTAGGGCAAAAAATAAATACAAAATGTTGAGTGATTTAGTGTGAAGTTCAGTTTGTTGCCTTTTCAGTTGTGCTTTGTGAAACAATATCTACCTGAATTACTTTGCGGCTCTGCATGTGTTTTCTATTTTATGGCAGGTTCTTCTATGGTATGAAGGGTGGTTATTACAGAAGTGAAAACACTCTTCCATCCTTCTGAAAGTCATGTTGAAATCCTTACGTATTGTCCTGGGTTCAGCACTAGCAGTCATTTTTCTCCTTTGCAGTAGCTGGTGCAGTGCTGTATTTCCGACTTTAGTCTGGGAACAGTGCTGATAACACACTGATGTTTTTAGTTCTTGCTAAGTAACGTTTACTCTGATCAAGGACTCTTTCAGTCTCATGTTCTGCCAGTGAGGAGGGGCATGGGAAGCCAGGAAGAAGCAGAGACAGGACACCTGACCCAAACTAGCTAAAGGGGTATTCCATACTACAGGACATCATGCTCAGTATATAAACTGGAGGATTGCTACTCTGATTTGGCTGGGTATCGATTGGTGGGTGGTGAACAATTGTATTTTCTCCCCTTGTTATTTCCCTTATCATTATTAGCATTGGTGGCAGCAGTAGTGGTTTGTGTTATACCTTAGTTACTGGACTCTTCTTATCTCTACCCGTGGGAGTTATGTTCTTTTGATTCTCCTGCCCATCCCTCCAGGAGCTGGGGGACAGTGAGTGGCTGTGTGGTTCTGAGTTACTGGCTGAGCTTAAACCACAGCATGTATATATGAATGCTTGAGAAGCTTGATCTTGCCCTGTTGCTTGTGAGAATCAACATTTAAAACCAGACTGTCTGACATGTAAGCAGTATGCTGTTTGGCTGCATGTAGTTTTATTGCCTGGCTGTGGGCTTTACTTAAGGTGTTTCAGAATTAAAGTGTTACAGACTTTCATAAGAAATACGATAATTTGTGTCTGTCAAAGCCATGCAAACTTTCTTGTTGCTCAGAACTGATGTTTTACTTTCTAAACTTTCTGCAAAGTCGCTAATCTTAGATTAATCCAGTGCTTCTGCTTCTCTTCCTCTTCTACTGCTTCATCAGAATAAGCAAACAAAAGTGCCCTCAAATGCTGTGTAACTTTGAGGAAATAAATATGAAAAATAAGGCACAAACCTTAATGAAATAAATCTTGGGTTCTGCATTTGCACTGCAAACAGGAACTCTTTTTTCTTTGAGCAGTAAATGCTGATAAACATTTCAATGGAAGCATATAGCTAGAGATTAAAAAAAAAAGCTACCGCTGACTATTAATCTTTAGGGTTAATGCCAAGAGATGACAGTAATCTTAAACTTCTAATTCTTGTTCTTCAAAAGTAGAAATAAAATGTCCTCAGTTTATTATCTTCTGTATATGCTCAAGGGGATCTGTATACGATCTGTGTGTCTCTCTCTCTTTTTAGAATGGTGTCTGTAAATGGTGCTTCTTCCTTGTGCTTTATCCAGTTTTGTAGAATACATCATATGTTTGCATTCACTATCTTGTTTTAAAAAGCAAACACACTTGTTACTGGGAGAAGTGTATAATGACCAAAAAATGAGGATTTTTTAAAGTAGTAAAATATTTTATTAGTATGTGCAAGATACCTGAAAACAACTTGCCTTGGTTCCATGTTGGTACTTAGAATAAAGTGAAGCTAGCCGGAAGTAGAGTTTATAATAGATAAGTTTGTTGAATGAGAAATAGAAGCAATATATTGGCTAAAAAGAGCTCTGTGTGCATGTACTTCCTTTCAGTTTTGCCATTAGTGAGGGTTATGTAGTAGGTAGAAGAGGGAGGTAATTAAAATAAATACCTGGTGAAACATCGGAAAGTTTTCTTTATTTGTGGGGTTATTCCTAACAGTTACAAAAATACACTGTCTTCTATGTATATCTTCCAGTTCATCCTGCAAATAGCAAGTTATATTTACTTGTCAAATGAATATTAATACTTGGTCTTAAAAGTTAAATGTGTGGAATCATTCTCATAACTCATTTTGAGTGTGTTGTTATAACTTCTGGATATAGAAGTCTTAATTTGTTGCTATTTCACGCTTGGGTTTCCATTATAACACTGAATTTAAGTTTTGGGGTTAGTTTTGGGTGGGGTTTTTGTATTTTGTGGTTGGTTTTTGGTTTGTTTTTAAAAGAATGACATTATGTGGGTGAACCTTTCAGGGCTGGTGGGCAAAATAGGCATCCTAATGAATGTGTCAGTGGTCAGTGCGTATGGTTTGGTTATTATCATTGAAAGAATACTGTGTTTGATGACCTAAGAAGCCCTCTTCAGTATCAGGTTCTTGCATAACTGCAGGCCTAAGCAGGACTTTCGTAAGATCCGGGAAAGCCTGAGCTCAGATGACTGAGGCCAGGGAACAGCTTTGGCTTCTCCCAGGTTGTTCCAGGAGACAGCAATGATGCAAGAATGTGAATATACACTCCTGCTTGCAGGGCACTCCTTCATTCTGGCCCTTGCAAGGAGCAGGTACATCCTGGTGCCTTGGGAGTCTCCTTCGTAAAGGCCTTTCCTTTGTGTTTTTAAATGTTGATATGGCTGAAGAACAAATCTGAACTGGGTTGTGTTGTGGGAAACTCGGTATGTGGCTGTCTGTGGTTCCTGCTCCAAGCTACTTCTGCTACTTTGGTTCTGCCCTGAGCTATGTAAGAAGGGAATTACGTTGCATGTAGAAAAAGGATGAAACTTGTGTGATAGTCCATTATTTTTGTGTTCGTTTTTTCGCTTGAAGTTTTGATGTGTATGTTCTCGCTTAAGATTTGGCTAATGGTTCAGGTAGGTGAGAAGAAAGAATGTGTGATCAGAAGTAAGGATGAGAATGTGGAAAGCACATGAAAGGACGTAGAGGTGGAGCCTGAGGAGGAAGCAGGCAGGAGATGAGCAGATAAGCTAAAGATTTTTGAGTGAGGAGGGGAAAAAAAAAGAGAGCATCAGTACAAATGATCTTCCTATTAAACATTTCACAAAACCAGCTGATAAAGCAGCCTTCATTTTATATTCCAGCCTTGGTTGGATGAGAGTTCTCTGATGAGAATTCAGGCAGAAAAAAATCAAGCAGGACTGTAGAAAGTGAGGGATTAGTTTTATAAGTGCTTATTTTGACTGACCTGAAGAAGCTGCTGCCTCTGCAGTACCTCTTCATTCGAAGTGTTTGGGTTGCCATGCAGTGAACCTGATAGGGAAATTTCTCAAAGTTATAAATAACTCGGGAACAGTGGTTATTTTTAGCTTTGATTGTTCTTCAGTACTGCTGATTGCACAGTTGTACTGACATAGCTTGGAAGGGGCAGCTTCTTACCTATTCACCTGTACTGGAGGATACTTCTGCTGGAGGATATCCTTGTGAAGCTATGGAGAGGTGATTCGGTGTTGTGGGAAGGTTTTTTTTTTGTTTTTCCTTGCTGCAGAATATGAAAGAAAGGTAGTGTTAGAACAAGGCCTAAGGGAGACTGGATGGTCTTTTGCTTTCCCCTCTATCTGAAAGAGGTGTTTTGGGGACTGAGGTTCTTCAGGCTTTTATGTGTTCTGTTAAGTGAATGTAAATGAAGTAACATAGCTCCTGCTGAAACTTAATATGTCTGATCTGTAACTAACAGAAATGTGTGGGACAGCATCGTGTGCACAAGATCAAGTGATTAAAGTATAATGTATTTACGATATACGATTCCATCCTGAATCGTTGGTCTGAACATTTTCAAACCCTCTTTAGTGCTAATCGTGTAGTCCAAGGTGAAGGAATCCAGCACGTTCTGCAACATCCGGTGAAAAACGAATTGAATTTAGCCCCTACCATGGGAGAGACTCTTAAGGCCATACAGCAGGTGAAAACTGGCAAGGCAGCTGGGGTTGATGGAGTCCCACCTGAAATATGGAAGCATGGAGGCAAAGCACTTCACGCTAAATTTCATGAGCTAGTTGTGTGCTGTTGGGAACAAGGCAAAATACCGTCAGACTTTCGTGACGCAATCATCGTCACTCTGTATAAGAAAAAAGGTGCCAAGTCAGACTGCTCAAACTACCGTGGTATAACTCTGCTCTCCATTGCTGGTAAAATTCTTGCAGGAATACTGTTGAACAGACTAGTACCTGCTATCGCAGAAGAACTTCTACCTGAAAGTCAGTGTGGTTTCAGGGCTAATAGAAGTACCACAGACATGATATTTGTTCTCAGAC